TCCATTCAACATGTACAGCCAAACTCATCAAGGACAGCATGTCATGATGAATGGCGGCCAAGCCCATCAGCGGTTTGGCATGCAGATCCCCAAGTTTCAGTCGCAGAGTCATCACCCGCACCATACGCAGCAACCTCATCACCACACGCACCACAATCAAGCTTCACACAACATCAACCACCAACACAACTTCTCGAGCGGGGCATTGGCTTCCGCGACTCCCCACTTTACCCCAAGCCACATCCAAAATGGGGCTCACACTAATGTTGACGAAGATATTGACGAATCGATGAATGAGCACTGGCAGCAACAACTTCAGTTGGCCGCGGAATCACGGCAGGCCAGCTCGCCCCACTACCATGCCCGATCTGTCGCGCAACAAGCCAAGGGCATCCAGATTGCCCCTAGCCAACCGGAGACACAAGAACAAGTCCCTGACGGGCAGAACGGGGTGGTCAAGGCCAAGGCATCTTCACGGCAAGGTTGGCACGCCTTGGATTTCGGCGGACAGGGACTGCGCGCGCTGTCCACGTCTCTGTTCAACTATGTCTTCCTGGAGAAATTGTACCTGAATCATAACAAGCTGAAGGCCCTCCCACCGACCATCGGGCAGCTTCGGAAATTAAATCACTTGGACCTGTCAGGCAACGACCTCACCGAGCTTCCAGAGGAGATCGGCATGCTCACGAATCTGAAGAAGCTCTACCTGTTCGACAACAATATCCGCACACTTCCTTACGAGATGGGCTACCTCTACAGGCTGGAAACACTCGGCGTTGAGGGCAACCCACTGAATGATGTCTTGAAGTCTCACATCATGAAAGAGGGTACCAAGGCTTTGATCAAATATCTCAAGGAAGAGATGCCAGGTTAGTAGAATTGCAGATCCTTTTTATTCATTCTTTCTTGCGCAAATCCACTGACACTGATGGCAGTTCACCTCCCACCCCCGGACCGGGACTGGATTGTCCTCGACGAAACCGCCAGCTCCTCGAACCATCGTACTGACAAAGTTACTGTCTTGTCATACAACACACTCTGTGATTCCTCCGCGACTCAGTCACACTACGGCTACGCTCCAGCTCGCGTTCTTTCCTGGGAGTTTAGAAGGGAGCTCATCCTAAACGAGCTCAGGTCTCACGATTCGGATATCATTTGTCTTCAGGAAATCGACCAAGGAAGCTATAATGAATATTTCCGGGAACAGCTGGCTTACAATGATTACAAGGGTGTTTACTGGCCACGAGGAAGGGCTATGGGCATGCAGGAGGAGGACGCCAAATGCGTGGATGGATGTGCCACCTTCTTCAAGGCCAGCAAGTTCATCCTTCTCGACAAACAGCTGATCAATTTTGGCCAGACAGCCGTGCGGCGCCCAGATGCAAAAGGTCAAGACGACATCTATAACCGACTCTGGCAGAAGGATCATATTGCAGTTGTCGTATTCCTTGAAAACAGGCAGACCGGTTCGCGGTTCATTGTCGTGAATGCCCACCTCTACTGGGATCCAGCGTTCAAGGATGTGAAACTGATTCAGACGGCTATTCTGATGGAAGAACTCACCAAATTGTCGGAGACATATGCCAAATGGCCTCCGTGCACCGACAAGGCGGCTTTCCGATTCTCCAAAGAGGAGGGACAATCAGAAACGCCACCTCTGGAGGAACCGGCGCCATCCATGCAGTATGCTAGTGGCGATCAGATCCCTCTCCTGATGTGTGGAGATTTGAACTCGTCTCCGGGATCCGCAGCATACAATCTGATTGCGCACGGTCGGCTCGACGAGGAGCACCCGGATTTGGAGAAGCGTCTTTACGGCAATCTCAGCAAAGTCGGTATGACGCATCCCTTCAAGCTGAAGTCCGCATATGGAGCTATTGGCGAACTTCCCTTCACGAACTACACGCCAGACTTCAAAGATATCCTTGATTATATCTGGTATTCTTCAAATTCACTTCATGTTTCGGCGTTACTCGGAGAGGTGGACAAGGACTATCTACAGAGGGTGCCCGGATTCCCCAATTATCATTTTCCAAGTGATCATATCGCATTGCTGGCGGAGTTTACAGTTAAAGGGAAAAAGGGTAAGGTTGTGGAGGCGGACTTTGGGCCGCAACGGAATTGAGGGAATGGAGCATGTTGAACGTCATGAGACTGGTGTTTGTGTAGCCGGTTTGTCTTGTTCTTTCGGAAACTTTGGGATCCTCTCGTGTATCTCTGGTGTTGTTATTTGCTTTGCTCTGTCGTTTTCTACATTTCCTGTGGTTACATTCTTTGCTTTTGCTGTCAACCGAGGGCACTTGCTCAATTGAACTCGCTTGTCATGTTCTTGGAAATTAGTCAATTGCGCGGTATCCTTTTCTTCTCCTGGATCTTCTGCGCCTTTGGTGTCTTCTTGAGTGCTTTCACTGTCAACTCAGCCGTGCCGCGTCACGATCAAGGCCATAGGCAGCGAATGCGGCTTGAGGTAGCAGGAGAACATCGCCCTGTCTTTTCATCTTCTCAATCTAGGCGAATGGGGTTCATCGTTGCCGTGTACGTCTTTGATTTCGCTACTTCATGAATAAATGCCGTGGCCTCTCGAAGGCAGAGGACCGGCTTGCTGCTGTTTGAATTATCAGTCGCTGGTGTGATTGTAGCGATAAGTGAGAGATTCCCTGAATGAGTTGACGATATTGTACCGCCTACGACCTACAAACAAGTAAGGAATGAAGATAGTATACATTTCCAACTGTGTATTGTACAATGCAGGAGGATAATGGGGATGGAATGCAATATCCGTCACAAATGGGTATCCTCACATGTCCCTCATCCAGAAACAGGGAAAACAGGCTACTCCTTCGATGAATCTTCTATCCTTCTCCACACGCCGACGAAACCTCCGCCCACGATCCGGGTCCCGACTTTAGGCCGGCAGACCAGCACGCTATCCTCTTGCCTTGCAGCTTCTTCAGGAGCAGCAGGTACACTTTCTACGGCAGCGTCAGAAGAGTCTTCCTCGGTCTCCGCCGAGTCCGCGGCCTCAGTCCACGAGGACGGGTCCGCACGCGACTTCTTCACGGCAAACCGCACATCCCAGAGCCGACCACTGCTGATGCCGGAGCCGAGCTCCACAACCTTCTCAAGGATGAAGGGGAGCTTTTGCCGCCGGATGAGGTCCACGCAGTCACCGACCTGGGTCACGCTTGGCATGAACACGACCAGGATGCCGTCTCGTTTCAGGATGGGGGCGACGTGGGGGATGCGCAGGTGCGCGGAGGGCATGTCGAGGATAGCGTAGGAGAGGAACGGCTCAACTGTGGGGCTGCTCGAGAGGAGGGATCTCGACGCGCGGGCCTTCTTCTGCTCTGCGATCCAGTTCTCCACGTGGCCGACGTAGAAGTCGACATTACCGGCGTAGATTCCGCGGCGGAACCCGCGGACGATCTTCTCGGCGTGGGCGGAGAATTTGGGGGAGACGTCTACGGTGTGGATGATGGCTCGTCGGTGGGCGCGCCAGGCGTCCCATTGTTGTTGCTCAGTTTGCTGCTCGACGAATCCGTCTGGTAATTCTTGGGCGGTGTTGCCGGTTGATTTGGGGTCTGCCTTTTCCGCGTCGGTTCCGGGGCGGATCGGTCGTCCCTGCAGGTATTGGATCTGAGACTTTGGTGGGAGACGAGGCGGAACTGAGTTGGCTGCCTGGATCGCGCGCGCGAGGTGTAGAGTTAGGGAGCCATGACCCGTGCCGGACTCGAGGATTTCCAACGGTGGCTGTTCCTGGGATCCTTCTGCTGGGGGAGTGACGTGGATATCGAGGAGGGAGACAATCAAGTTGGCATCTGCGGAATAGATCTACTGGGACGTTTGTGAGTAGGAGTCTGGACTAGACAGCAATGGCGATTGATCTCATACTGGTGTGACCAGTCGCGGTGTCATGGAGACATATTCGTCGAGGGTCGGAAGGCTGAGTCGGTAGTCAGGGCCTGCATTGCGACGGGGATTCAGTTATAGATTCCTTGTGGTCAAGCATAGATGGACCTACCCTTGTGCGCCTTCACAAGATCTCGTACTCGCTGACCAATGATGCTATCGTGTTCCAGTACTCCTCGTCGCACATCGGTCTTCTGCCCTCTTCGAAGGGGCTTCGTTAACGATGGAGTTTTGCCATGAACAACGACCCTATCCCCCTCTAACATGACATTGATCAGCATACACAGGCACAAGAGGCATTGACTATTTGAAATGATCTGTACCTCTAAAGTAAGAAAAGTTCGTGTCAATTGACCCCGAAAATTTTGGAACGGGCTTAGAGGGAGTCAGCCCCAAGGCTCGGCGCAGAGATTGAAAAAGACGAGCCATCCAACAATGCTTGCTGATATAAGAGGGGATCAAGAAGAATCAGTAAATGTCGAGAAAAACCGCTGTTCAGTTGCGATGGGGGATTTGGCAATGGCCAGAATCAAAACTTTTTGACGGTTATCGGACTTGTCGCTATCGGCACTTCTCTATCTCTGTCCACTTATCCAAAACAGGGGCGCGTGGGGACTGGGGGATTTCCATCGTCCCAGACCGGTGCCCCCGCATTGATCGGCCCAGAAGAGCATCGAAAAACCACCCAATGACGATGCGAAATTCTTTCACCAGTACCTTAAGGTACTTAAGTGCAAACGGTGAAGCAGGCAAAGTAAAGAGGTCAGATCAAATCGAGTTTAGTTGCTTTCTGACCGATTCGCGGGGCAGTACGGAGTAAGATAACTGTTGATCACCCCCGCGGGATGATTCATGGGACACTATCTTTCTTTCACTTCTCTGATTCCTGTTCTCAATCCTTTGGGCCATCTGTCATTCTAATCAACCTAGGATTCTTTAGCCCTGCACTCAATTACCAGCCAATTCGTGCCTTTAACTTCCCCTATCCAGTGGGTCTCCATTGACATCATCTGCATCACTGAACTAGCATCTTACCATAATTCTGTCTGTATTCAGCCTTTCATCGTACTCAAGGGCTACCTATTGTCACCATGGGTTCCACCGAACTCCCTTATATGAAGACCAATCCCAAAATCATCTTCTTCACTGATTTTGATGGGACCATTACACTGGCAGATAGTAAGCACACCTGGCTGTAAACTATACGATCAGAGGCTAATTGTCCGCTGTTAATCTCAGGCAATGATTTTCTGGTAAACTTCTGGCCTGAAACCTGATCTGGCGTCTCAGGCTGATATATTCAGACCGACAATCTCGGATACGGACGAGAAAAACGTCGCCAAGGGAATTACGATGTGCTCCATGGCAGAGCTAGCTTCCGGTATGTGCAAGTGAAAGGCATTGTTCCGAGAGAAGACGTCCGCTGACTTCTTCGATTTTTTACAGTGATGCCTTCCGCGATATGTTGGACAGCGTCAAAACGCCTTTCGACAAGTGCATCGAGATCCTCCAGGAGAACATGAAACTTGACCCCCACTTTATCGAGTTCTACTACTGGGCCGAGGAAAACAATGTTCCAATTGTGGTATTGTCGTCGGGGATGAAGCCCATCATTAGTGCCTTGTTCGAGTCATTGCTGGGACACAAGCCTCGAAGCCATTTGCACATTGTTTCCAACGACGTGGAGAGCCGCGACGGCAAGGACATCAACACCGCAGGCGGTTGGAAAATCAAGTACCACGACGACAGGTGAGAATATCGAAGAGTCCTGTTGTATTGCTTTTGGAACCTAACTTGCACCTTCGATAGTCATTTCGGACATGACAAATCCTTGGAGATCAAGCCGTACGCCGCATTGCCGGAAGACAAGCGGCCCACTTTGCTCTATGCTGGAGATGGTGTCTCCGATCTGTCTGCTGCTGCAGAGACTGACCTTCTCTTTGCTAAAAAGGGCCATGGTAAGCCAGAACTCCCCTGGACCTTCGATCTTCGAGTACGCTACTGATCACAATTCAGATCTGGTGACCTACTGCGAGCGGGAAGGAATGCCGTTCACCACGTTCGAAAGTTGGGAGACGATCCTGGACACTACAAAAGACATTCTGAGCGGGAAGGTATCATTGAAGAAAGTGGCTGAAGAAGGATTGAAAAAGGTGCATGAGCAAGGCAATTGAGATGATTCCACCGACGCTGTATAGATTCGGGAGACGTTGGATTTCTTCGACTGGTTTGGGATCTTCATTAGACAAGGGGAAATATCCTCCGGATGATATCTATACATATATAGAGGAAGATAAGCTATATAGAAGGTTGGATTAGACGAGGATCCTATCTGAGATTTCATCGGACAAGTGCTGAGACAACTATGGCTCGCCAACCAGGAGGGCTTTATCGAGGCAGTCTCAAATAGGCTTAGATCAAGGAGGGCCCGCGGATCAGGGACTTCGAAGCCGATAATCAAGAGGTAATACTAAACTTTAGTTCACATGTGACCGCCTTCCAGTCTCGAGTTTCCTGGTGCTACAAATACGGGGGCTCGGACAATCGACTCTTCCATCCCCAGATTTGGCCCCCTTGAGATGGACTGACGATAATCAGATCTTGTCCATGGTGTGGCCTGCTTTCATCTTATAGTCTCGTGTGCCCCATCATGCTTGAGCGTCCAGCTACTTACCATCCGCTCGAAGATCTCCAGGGGCTCCTTTCATTAACATGACTCGCCGACTTGTATGGATTATCTACTCGTTGAAAGTCGGTTATTTCATGATTCCGCTGCTAACGTTCTCAATGATAATAGGTTCGGACGGGCGTGCAGCTCGCTATCATCGCCGCAATTGCATTGCTCCTTGTGGTAATTCTAGATAATAAATTCCGTGTGCTACCGGCGTCCATCCATGGCCACCTTCCCACGCATTATGCTGGCTACGTCGTTACCGATGTGACCGTGGTTACATGCTCTTCTCTCAGCATTTTTTCCAGTTGCAAAGTTGACTCGAAGGCATGGTCTAGAATTGAAAAGGACCTATATCTGCGCTTGGGGTGGACATCCAGTGCTTACGTACAGTTCCAACGGAAGAAGGAAGAGGAACTGCTCGCATCTGACAAGGTGGTGATCGACTTGAAGATAAGCCGACTGACACCGCAATCCTCGAATGACCCACATGGAGAGAAAATTGAATGGGAGCAGAGGCCAGGTGGCATCTGGCTGAAACGGACGGCCAAGCGCCATGCGAGTGACTCGCAGAAAGCGATCACCTCGATCGATGTCTTGTTCGGTGCGGACGCGGTTGATCCACGTGTGGGCTGGGAGGTGAAAGATACTCCGCTGCTGCTGGATAGCAAGACGGAGGAGTTGGAGGCCCGCATCAGTATTCGAAGGGGAGACCCGCCAAAGACCAAGAAGCCCACTCCACGCATTAATGAGAATGGGAAATTCAAAATCATGCAACTAGCAGACCTTCATCTGAGCACTGGGCTTGGCGTGTGTCGAGACCCAGTTCCGGTAGAGCCCGTGCCCGGTCACAAATGTGAAGCGGATCCTCGGACCCTGGAGTTTGTGGAAAGACTTCTCGATGAGGAGAAGCCCGATTTCGTTGTCTTGAGCGGTGACCAAGTCAACGGTGAAACTTCGAGAGATGCTCAGAGTGCGCTCTTCAAGTCTGTCAAGTTACTTGTCGACCGCAAGATACCTTACGCAGCCATATTCGGCAATCACGACGACGAAGGCAACCTTAGTCGAGAACAGCTTATGACCATACTTGAAGATCTCCCTTACTCCTTGTCGACCGCCGGCCCTGAAGATGTGGACGGGGTCGGAAACTATATTGTCGAAGTTCTCGGTCGTGGGACGACCGCGCACTCGGCTTTGACTCTGTACCTGCTCGACTCTCACTCCTACTCTCCTGATGAACGTCAGTTCCGAGGCTACGATTGGATCAAGCCGAGCCAGATTCGGTGGTTCAAAAACACAGCGCAAAGCCTCAAAACAAAACACCATGAATACAGTCACATGCACATGAACATGGCTTTTATTCATATTCCGCTTCCAGAATACCGTGACTCCTCGAATTACTATAGAGGAAATTGGTCGGAGGCTCCCACCGCACCAGGGTTTAACTCTGGTTTCAAAGACGCTCTAGAAGAGGAAGGAATCTTGTTCGTGAGCTGCGGGCAGTAAGTACCCTTTTTGATACTCGGGAGTGACCTGTGTGCTGTTTGCTAACCTATTACTAGCGATCATGTTAATGATTACTGCATGCTTAACAAAGGCCGAGATCAGAAGCCGTCTCTCTGGATGTGCTACGGAGGCGGTGCTGGTTTTGGAGGCTACGGAGGTTATGGTGGCTATGTCCGTCGCGTTCGTTTCTATGATTTTGACATGAACCCAGGGCGTGTTGTGACGTACAAGCGACTTGAATACGGCCAAGTAGAGGCCAAGATCGACGAGATGATGATCATCGACGGAGGCGCAGTGAAAGGACCTGACGAACATCATTGAGCGTTCTGAGTCCTTGCACATGTGTCAATCGCCCTTTATTGACTCGCCGCTTCTGCCAGGGAATGTTCTTTAATGTGGCTTCGAAGCAACTTCGCAATCACGCGTATCGACACTCAATACCTTGATATCCCGGCATGGATACGCTGTCTATGGTTTACATCTTGCTATCTCGGGCGCTTTTTTCCTGCAGTCTTTGTACCTTATATATTGAGTTGAGAAGGCCGGTTAGCATGGGTCTGAATTGTCTCATCATTGAGCAGAGGACCAGGGATCTCAGTCTGCAGCAGCATTTATCTAGAACATTTGCGATTGTTGCAGCGCTAGCATGCCTTGCCTCAATACACTCTCCCACATCTTACGAATGAAAAAAACTGGATCACCACCATTTTTCGAACAATACCCGCTCCTTACCATCTCCCAGCAAACCTCGAAGAGTACTCGCAACTTCATCTGTCATCTTGGGAGGCGCACATATATAGCAGACCGTCTCCTCAGGCCTAATGACACCATCAGGTCCCTGGAGCGCCTGCCGCAGATCATCGGGCTGCTGTCTTCGTGCATAAATAGTCAAATCCTGCTGCGGTTCGGACAGAAGTGGCGCGAAGTCATCGTGGAGATTAGTGAGGAAGAGCCGTAAAGAGATTCGCAGACGGCCCGACTCTGACTGGCAGCGAATGATCTCGCGAAGCCGCGAGAGGAAGAGGATTCGGTCCAGATACGCCTGGGGGCTTTTCTCAGGGAGGGACGGGACTGCAGACCGGGGGATCTTGGTGGAGTAGAAGAAGTGGATGTCGGAGTGCTGCTGGTGTAGAGCTGTTTCGTCGTCGTTGTTGTTCAGATGCGAGAGAATGGAGATCAGAGGGCTGGGCGATGATTAGCAAACGCTTCCAGATGTGTGAATTCGTGACTTCTAGGAGGGCATACTTGATACCCACTCCGCCTGCAATGAAGAGCACCTTCTTGGTTTCATCGAGGTTAATTCCCGATGGGGGCCAGACGAAACTGCCCCCGATGCGGATGCTCAGTTCCTGTCCCTGGATCTCGTCCTTGGGTCTCCAGAGCCATGCGCTGGCTGGATTGGACGGGGCGTGCTGCACGGCTAGTTCCACGTACGGTGCTCTGCCTCGCGGGTCCATCGGCGGCAGGCCCGTTTCTTCGTCCATGGGCGACTCCACGGGAGGCCCTGGCGAGGGAAGCACCTGAGCATCTGCCGGCGTGGAGGTGATGCTGTAACCCCCCGCATCGGCGAGGCCAGGTATATGCACGTCTACCCACTGGCCCGGTAGGAACGTGAGTGGTTGTGGTTGATCAGACTGATGCCGTTAGTTATATACAAAAAACATAGTTGCGAGACAGGATACCTCTCCATCAGCTCGCTCTTCCTGCCCCTCCAGGCTCTGCACATGAGGGGGAATTGTTAGCTGTATCAGTCGCACAGTAGGATTGACCTCGTCGATATGTGAGAGCCGGACAGTATACATGCGGTTCTGTCGGGGCTCTGCCGCCGTGCGCACCAGATGCGGCACAGAGGCCTTCCTAGTTGATGCGTAATCCATCTGGCGTCGGATCGCACCCGGAACAGACTGGTGAGGTGACAGGGGTTGAAGCCGCGCAATAAAAGGCACGCGCTGAGACTGAGAGACGAGGATGCTTGGTGCGTGTGGTGAACGGTGGAATCGGTGGCACCACAATAGTCGGGGGGTCTGCATTCGGATGTTCGACCTACTGGTTTTGACGTCAAGTATCTGTATCTTTTGAATTATCCGCGTAGACTATCTTAGGCTTTGACCTCGGAGACGTTGTTAAAACAACATTGTACGATCAGTCTAGATTGAGTACACCTCTGATGATGGATGAGTGGTATGACGTTTGCCAGCGTGTCACACTGGAATCATTTTCCATCACTATTCCTCCTTATCCCTCATATGGTTCAAGTGACAGTCTTAGATCCGTTTACTTTGCAATGAGATACTGTAGGTATGAGTACGAATGCTTGTTTGCATTAGTCATGCCAAATAGCATGATGAAAATGAATAATGAGAATTAGACTATGCTGCATACACCATCACAGACACCGAGTGATCTTCCTTCCGTTGGCGCTTCGCTCTTCGACAGACCTACCAGCTATTTCGCAACTCATTGACTTGGTCAACTAGCTCTGAGCACATCTCCTCAGGTCTACTAGACTACTACTAAGGCCACCCGCTTAGCCATGCAGATTGATCTCCTCGTCACACGGACTAGCGTGTGATGGCGGGCAGCCAATGTGCGTGTTCTGCAGCCTCATTGGCGATAGATCCCGGGCGTCGTGCCTGTGCTGGCGCTTTCAAACCCGCCAGCATTGGCCAGATGCATCAACAGGAACCTTTTGCATGTCTTGATCCTCGACTTTCCTGGCTTATTGTTGATGCGGTTGGTGCCCCTCTTCAGGTCTGCTATCTGCTTACAGGGCACCATGGACGACAAGAGTGCGCTGTAGGCCATATTTGACCCCCTAGGTACTCCGTAGTTAGTCTAACGGTGCTTCTTGCTCTGTTCATATCTACACCGTGTGTCCGGCTGGTCTTAGGAGTTGTTTTCTGTGATTGTTGCTTGTTTGACTTCCTCCTCTGGTTCAGTGGTTTGGTTCCTTCAATGCGAGTGAACTGAACGCCCAGCCAGCCGGTCTGGCCGCCAGTGGACTGTTATTTTCGACGACACATTCGATAAAGACGAGGCCTAACTCTTTCATACTTGACTTTTCAGATTGGCCGTTTCCTGAGTTATCCGAAGATTTCGGTTTCGGTCGCCATGTATTTCCCACGGAATCATCGCTATCACAAAGTACTTCTGTACTTGATGGCTGCCGAGCTGCCGTTTACCATTGTTATCCTTACACTCACTGGAATCGCTTCTCACAATCTATACCGGACGAAGCTGTGGCAGGATGGCGCAGACAACGGCTTCAACAGTTCCCCCGATGAGCAGTTGTATGCGGCTGCCAACTATCGGCCTTATAAGGTGCCTACGGTCTGGAGCGAATTGTACGTTTTCTTGTCTCTTGCCTTTCGCTCTGCTTCTTTCTCTTCTCCAGCGTTCTTGTTCGTTTAATCCTGAAACCGGAGAAGAATGCCGCTGACGCTGCCTGGGGCTGCAGCATCACCGATTACAATCTAGTACTTGGTGTTTTAAGCACATTTTTCCTGATCACCAAAGTCCCTATACACTTCCTTCGCCTGTTCTATCCGCCCGTGTCGGTTATTGTCCACGGGGGTCTTGTTGCAGTATACATCGTTTCTGCTCGGTACCAGGCCGGCCCAGATATGTCGGATCCCGCGCACCCGCAGCCTGGTGCGCCGTGGTACATCACGAAGAAGTGCACCGTCGCTGCGAATAAGGACAATATCAATTACTGTCGTCAGTCGAAGGCCCTATTTGCGTTCACAATAATAATCATGTGAGTACCATGTCCCCTGCGAGTCAACCCTCAAGGCTGCGGTTAACGGAAGAAACAGCGTCCTCTATTTTGTCGAGTTCGTTCTGAGTATCCATTCCTGCGTTCTGACTCCGGAGGAGCGCGCGGAACGATTAGAGAAGGCGGAAGAGAAGAGAACCTGGAAGGAATATGAAGAAGCCGTTCTCAAGTCTCCCGCGATGATTCCGATGAGCCCAGCTTATCCACCACAGGGCATGCCTGCTATGACACCCCGTAGCCTTGCCTTCAACCGATTAGGAGGAGACAGTTCATCCGACCTACCTCTTCGGGAATATCTCGGTGGTTCAAATCCCCGCCACTCGATGCAGCAGGAGTCGTCGGCGGAGACTCTCGCATCAGGGCAATACGCTCAGACTGGGGCAACAGCCCAGTCTCAGCCTCAGATGTATTTCCCTCCGCCTCCCAAGAAGGCCGCCAAAACGTGACATCGCATTTTGATCGTGTTGAAGTGTGTATAGGATGTGTGCGACCGGCTGTTGAGTGTGGATTTTGACCAAATTTGTTGATTGCTGCTCTATTCCCCTGTGTACGTTCATGCTTTCGATCAAAGTTCTGTTGATTGAGCTGGTTGCGAGTCATCAATGTGCCATTGAGGAGGCGCCGCCCTCATTTTCTTAGATAATGAGAAGAATCGCGACGGGTATCGATGCTGTAGTTTAGTTTGATCGTAGTCATTCAGCGTAAACAGAGATACGATCCATAAACCCGAGACTCATACTACCTCCTGTCACACGAATGGGAGTAAGGCTGATCTATGTCTCAAAGCCAACGAGATGGCGCTCAGGTTCGCCGCATATGCTAACCGGTGAAAGAAACGCAAGGGTATCTCTTCGCGGAAAGGGAGTATAGAAACTCGATGATACGCGCCGATATAGTCCAGAGTTGCTATTCAGTTTGATTCCTGACGTTTCTTCTCTTTCTTGGCCCAGCGTACTATTGAAGACAGCAGTCAGTTTCAGTCGAGCAACAACAGGGGTAGAGTTGGGGCAACTTACAACCGCAGGCATTACACAAGGTCTTTGGTCCGTCCGGTCCCTTTCTCCATTCCGGGGAATCAGAGGTCCCGCAGTCTGTACACAGATACTCTCCCTTCAATCTTTTCCTTCGGTCGATCTCCTGTGCGCTCTGAGCTTGCTGCTCAATCGTGGCTATATCAATATCGCAATGGACGAGACAGCCTTGGCGCATGCCCGTGCTGAGACCATGAGACCGCTCGCCCTCGCGGTAACGCAGTCCTGTCATCATCTCAATTCCGTCGATGTGGGCCATGTCTTGTGCCTGTCGCGTAGTGCTTTCAAGAAGCGACCCCGGTTCTCCATCATCGGTGTTGACCGTATCGGACGACTCGTTCTCCTCGCCTGAGCCGGTCGCATCGTAAGATGCGAATGGAGGCAAGTTCTGGCGCAGGGCAGAGGATCCCGAGTTTTGCTTGAGGTACGCCTGTCGACCTGCATTTGAATCTTCCTCCTCTTCCGCCCTGAGTTGTGAGATGCGCTGATTTAGCCGGATGTTTTCGATCTTGTGTTCGAGTAAGGAATCGAGTAGCGCCGAGCTCCTGGTGGGATACGGCCGGCAGACTAGGAAGACACCGTTGCAGGTATTATTCTCGTCTTTGACATGTGGATGACCGTGCGCTTCTATGACGCAAAAGGTATTATTCGGCTTGTAGAAGCGGAAATGGCACCGGAGCGGACGGGCCGTGGCGATGCACTCTTCGAGTTGACAGGTGAAGACAGGCTTGTCGTCATCGTGAATGAAGCGGGATAGGGCGTCACGTTCGATCTGCTTCGACTCGTATCCGGTAATCCACTTGCAGGAGGGCGAAGCGTAAAGAACTGTGCCATCGGGACGTAGGAGGAGGAGCATGTCGGTCATTTCGGCGAGGGCACGCTGTACCCAAACCTGTTCTGTAGTTGCATCGAGAGACGGCTGCGGTTCGGCATCTTGGGGAATGGTATTCGGATAATTGTTGCTGCTTTCATTGCCAGGAATTGACCGCGGAACTGTTTGCGCATCCATTGTATCTTGAGTGTCTCTCTCGTGCTGCAATGCGTATGTCTTGTTTGATCTCACTGTGTCCGCCTCCGGAGGAGCGATTTCCATGGTCGCGCGGGACCAGGAAGGGCGAAGTGATTGTCACTATAAACGAATAAATACCTGAGCGAAGATCCTGATGATACAGGTGCCGATAATGTAAAGAGACTCGCAAAAATCTGATTGTTCAAAGACGGAAAAGATATACACAGAAAAAGGACGAAGGAATCCCATATGGAATGTGAGGACCTGTGAGATCAACGCCGAAAATGACCGCTGTTGACCTCTGTATACGGCCGCATATTAGCGGTACTCCCTGCGGCCCTGCTCTCGCTGGCATAGAAACTTTCACCATCTGAGGGGACGAGTTCTCGAACTCTTTGAGAAAGGACAGCTGGTTGATACTGTGGGCAATGTACATCCAGGTGTCCTCTAATTGTATAGATATTTGTGGGAGGAGAAGCCAACAAACATGGCTGGCAAAACTCTCGATGGGTATAAAAGAAGTCGCGCTTGGCCGGCTATAATAGATAACTAGAAAACAGATAAGATGAAAAACAGCGAAGTTATAGGAGCCATGACTTCTTGGAACTTAGTTTTCTTTGATATTAGTTAACTCTAAGTGGACGACGGCAGGATTACCTGGACGGGATTTCTGTGGCAGTTTATCGGGACGTCGAGAACAATATATTGTTCATCTTTTCTTCTTTGATCATGATGAAATATTGTCCATTCCAGTAAGACCTTTCCATGCGTTGTAAAAGCCAATCACGATCTCTTAGAAGTTCAAATTCCATTTCTTCTGGACGACAAGGTCGTTCGAACCTGAAAACGAAGACTCTGCGAATGGTACTCGTCGAGTCGTCTTACATCCCGATGCAGCTGATCAACAACTCCCAGACGCCTACAAAATATTTGGAAGGAGGCGCCTGGACAATAGGTTCTCAAAGGGCTCATTGATAAACTCCACGCGCTGTCGATGAAGTTGACAAGCTTGTTTGTCGAGCGATATCCACAGTAGCAGAATGGTCAGTGTAGAAATACACCCCTACTTTGCACGCCTCAACCATGTAGCGGATCTTCCGCAGAACCCAGACAAGACCTGAGACCTCAAGCTCCGTTGGCCAGTAATTCTTCTCAGATGCTGTCAATGCGCGACTAAGAAACATAATTGGTAAAACCGCTTCTGGTGGTGGACATGTTGGATTGAAGCATGATTCCGTCGGAATATCGAATTTGACGTGAAAAATCATAGCTCCGTGACCTTGTTTCTTGGAGGAGTCTATGTCACTGTACAGTGGTAAATCCGGATCTTGATGAACAAGCATGCATGGACTTTTCAAATGGCTTTGCAAGGAACCAAAGCTTTCTCTTTCGTTGTTTGTGATGTCGTCCAGCGGTGTTCGTTCAGTGTAGTACTTCCGGGCCTTACCCTTTGTAGGGCCGCGACTCAGCAACCATGTTTTGCAATCCTGTAAAGGTTGGACAATGGCCGAGTAATACGGGACGCCGCATCCAGCCTGTAAAACCAATGTAGGTGTCAAGATTGGATAATGTGATTGAGAATTTGAAGCCCGCAATTGCTTTAAGCTTGTCTTCTGCGGCAGTCATGCCTAAAGATGACACATTTTGGCCCAATAGCTGAACTGATGGGAATGCAATAAATGTTTTTTGAGGGGATAGTGTTATTCTCATTTCGGCACATTTTGACAGGAAGTCGGATGATTGCTGTATGTGATCTTCGAAAGTCTTACTCCGCAAGAGCACCAAGTGCCAGTTTCAGATGAGTGTCAGACGCTCGAGATTCGTCGATATCCGCTGCACTGGTCGGAGGCTGTAATGTTTTGACATTCGACAATGAAATTCTCTGTCATATCGCGATGACGTTTGACCATCTGCTCAATCACTTGAGAAATGAGAGATGTGTCGCCAAGCAGGTCCGAAACGAGAGCATACACCGCAGCAGCAATGTCTGTGATGATACAGGACCTCTGCCGGGAATCACGTTGACCTTTGGCCTCAGGCATGTCAGGGAAAATTAGAGAACCGGTCTTGCGGAGGACTCGACGGTTTGTAGCTGGAAACTGTGGTCATGGTCTGGCGAACACTGGCGTCTAGGGACTCGGCCGTGTAAAGCTGTGAGTTATAGAACTCTCCACTGAGGAGTTTCTTCGTCGACATCAAAAAAACGACGTACCACTGCAGAATCGCCGGTAAGTCATAAGCATTTCCGAGCATGCCCACCGCCGTCTAGACGGCTGGCATACGATTAACATGTAGGAAAACAACACATACGCAACTACAAGTTGCACGGCAGCGCGCACACTGCTTGCAGAGGACCGATTTCATCGAGTCCAACTCGCAGTTGATACTGAAGGGTTCAAGTGCCGGGTCGTATTAGTTCCATCCGCTGCGGGTCGGTGAACATGACATCTATAAAGAATTGAGCCCGAGCTGTGTGAAAAAGGATATCGAAAGCTGGCTTTGAAAAGGGTTGTCATCATGGCAACAAGGCGAGGGGCCGCAGTTCCTGATGGGTTCCAACCAGCAGAATTGCTCGCGGTTCAAACCAGGGAAGCATGGGCCAGAGTCCAGGTCCAGTCAGGCTTGCTGCCTCATTCACAGCAATCACGTTGAAGGAAGTGCTGCCCTTCGCCTTGCGCCGACTTGCATTGAGTTATCAAAAAGAAGCGGCGCGTTCCCAGCTATCCTCATGGTATGGGACACCGAGGAGCCCCTCATTCCCCCATATTGAGTATGCATTGCCTGCGGCTGTGTAATACAGCTGATGACTGGATCGACAACCCAGTTCAAAATGCAGTTCCAGACTCCATTCACAGCTCCCTCAACACTGCGCGGGTTCAGGGACGAGTCTCGACAGCTCTGCCGGATCCACGTCCTAATATTGATCAGTCAAAAGGATAGACGTCTCTATCAAAGTCCAGTACGTACACTGCCCTCAATCCTAGCTGGATTTGATCGATAACAGTCATGTCGTCGTTCCGTTGTTTTGTTTTGGATGTCAAACGTGAATAGATCACTACTGAGGCCGTTCACAGCTGCATTTCCACCCATCCTGTCACCCATATAATCACACCACTATTCCGCTTCCAAGCATTATCTAGTAGTCGTCACCCTAGGTGATGTTGTCACCTAAGCTCAACAAGTAACTCACAACTATGGCAATGCAAAATGTAGCCTACTCTCTTCTTAACCAGCACATGTCAGGCGCTGTACAAAATGCTAGTCATCCATAGCCCCAAAGCAAACAAATGCCATTAAACTCAATCTTGCGGAGAATAATAAAGGTAACGTCGCGACGTACCTCTCGAGGCGTACTAATGTCTCTTTCAAGCCCATAAAGCCATTTGCGCATATCACGTGACTTCGCGCTACCTTTCCGCGTCTCTGACGCGCAGGCAGAAGCGGCGATATTGATAACGAGCTTCGATTAGGCTTGGGATGCACCGACAGTGTTGGGCCGGATAGTGGCTTGACATCCTTTGAAGACCTTCAGAGCCTGAAAGGTAGCACTGTAGTGCTTGATTTCAAAATGTGAGTCTGCGCGCTTCAGACAGAAATAACATCGAGAACTGATAAGCTTGGCAGGTGTAAGTGATGCGGAGTTCGATGACGAAGCACAAGACTGACGATTTGCTTCAACCGTAGCGAAGATAGACAAGCTTTCTATCCTTGGGTGCGTCCATTCCTACTGAAGGATACTCTCAAAATTTCGATTTATATACTGATTCGTGTTTCTCTCTCAGTGTTCGTTCCTTCGACAACACCCGCAGCGAGACCATCCAATTTCACACGCCTCTTACATTGATCGTCGGCTATAATGGCTCAGGGAAGACTGTACGCTTCAACAAACGGACAGTTTATGAGTGTCATTCATGCTAAGTGGGAATACAGACAATCATTGAATGCCTCAAATATGCTACGACCGGCGATCTTCCACCCAACAGTAAGGGCGGTGCTTTCATCCATGACCCAAAGGTAAGCTCGAACTCTCTCCTGTTGGAGAAATGTTACTAAATTATTGCCAGCTCTGCGGAGAGAAAGAAGTCCTTGCCCAAGTGAAATTATCCTTCAAGAGTACATCTGGAGCGAAGATGGTTGCTACACGGAGCCTACAACTTACAGTGAAGAAAACCACTAGACAACAGAAAACCCTCGAGGGACAGCTTCTGATGGTCAAGGATGGTGAAAGAACAGCTATCTCATCCCGAGTGGCGGAGCTGGACCAAATCCTGCCTCAGTATCTTGGCGTTTCGAGAGCTGTCCTGGATTCCGTCATTTTCTGCCACCAGGATGAGAGTCTCTGGCCCATGAGCGAACCCTCGGTGCTCAAGAAAAGATTTGATGAGATCTTCGAAGCTATGAAATATACGAAAGCCATCGACAATATCAAAGCCCTCCGGAAGAAGCAGAATGAGGAGCTGGCAAAATACAAAATCATGGAACAGCATGCCAAAGAAGACAAAGAAAAAGCTGACCGTGCAGAGAAAAGATCCATCAAGCTACAGGACGAGATTGAGGCCCTCCGCGCTGAAACCCATCAGCTCTCCCAAGAGATGCGCCGTGTTGCGGAACTCGCCGACAAAGCTTGGAAGGAGTCTGAAAGTTACGCTCGGGTTTTAGGGACTCTGGAAGGAAAGCGTATCGAGGCAAAGAGTTTACAGTCGACAATTGACAATCTCAAAAGGCACCTTGTTGAGCTTGATGATCCGGATGAGTGGCTGCAATCGAATCTAGAGCAGTTTGAGTCCAAACAACTCCAATACCAACAACAAGAGGAAGCTCAAAAGGAGAACTACATGGAGATCAAGGACCGGATTGAGCAAGCCCGTCAGAAGTTGGGAGTCAAACAAGCCGAATACGGAAAATACGAAAATGACAAAGCCAACTTCGAGCGCCAGGTAGAAAGAAGACAGAGGATGACAAGGGAGATTGCTCGCAGTCATAACATCCGAGGCTTTGACAATATCCAGGATCAAACCGATATTGACGACTTCATGCGAAAGATTCGGAAGCTGTTGAAGGAACAAAATCAAGCGCTGGAGCGC